ATATGGACTCACAAAAGACACCAGATAGTCAAAACAATCTTTGGGGAATAAAAAAAAAACAACAGTTGGGGGGAATCATCATACCAGATCTCAGATTATATTACAGAGCTATAGTCATTAAAGCAGTATGGTACTGGCACAAAAATAGACATGTAGCTCAATGGAACACAACAGAACACTCAAACATGAGTGCATGCATTTTCAGCCACCTTTTATTTGATAAAGGTGCTAAGAACACGCAATGGAGGAAAGACAACATCTTCAACAAATGGTGCTGGCAAATCTGGATCTGTAAAAGAATGAAATCAGACCCTTATCTTCCACCCTGCACAAAAGTCAACTCCAAATGGATCAAAGGCCTCAATATAAAATGTGAAACTCAGAAACTGCTAGAAGAAAACATAGGCAGTACCCTCCAAGATATAGGCATAGGAAATAACTTTCTAAATCAGACATCAGCCGCTCATGCATTTAGGTTAACAATAAGTGGGACCTCATTAAGCTACAAAGCTTCTGTATAGCAAAAGAAAACAACCAAGGAAGTGAAGAGGAAACCACCGAGTGGGAGAAAATCTTTACCAGTTACACATCTGGCAGAGGATTAATATCCAGAATATATAAAGAACTAAAAAAAACAAAGAAGCAAGAAAACAAATGACCCAATAAAAAGATGGGCATTAGACCTGAACAGAGAGTTCTCAAATGAAGGAATAAAAATGGCTAAGAAGCACCTTTAAAAATGCTTAGCATCATTGAAACACCTTAAAAAGTGCTTTGCATCCTTAGTAATTAGAGAAATGCAGATAAAAATCATTTTAAGATTTCATCTTGCCCTAGTCAGACTGGCTAAGATCAAGAGAAGGAAAAACACCAAATACCGGTGAGGATGTGGAGAAAGGGGAACTCTCATTCACTGCTGGGGGATTGAAAACTTGTGTAACCACTATGGAAAGCAGTGTGGAGAACTTTCAGAAAACTAAAAATGAATGTACCATACAATCCACTTATACCACTACTTGGCATATACCCAAAGGACTCGGGCTACTATAGAGATACCTGTACATCCATGTTTGTTGCTGCTCTCTTCACAATAGCTAAGAAATAGAAACAACCTAAATGTCCCTCAACTGACAAATGGATAATGAAAATGTGGTACATTTACACAGTGGAGTTCTACTCAGCAGTAAGAAAAGATGAAATTTGCAGGTAAATGGGTGATACTACAGACTGTTATACTAAGTGAAGTAATACAAACATAGAAAAGCAAGCAATGTATGTTCTCCCTCTTTTGCAGACTGCAGCACCAATTCCTCATATGTGAGTATATATCTTTATGTAACACCAGGAGCCAGGAAAAGGGAGGTAAAGGAAAAGGAAGAACCCAAAAGAGGGGGATAGTAGGGAACTGACGTTACCAGGGGGGAGGTGGGGAAAGTGGAAGTGTTCAGCTGGAAGGGGAGGGGGGAGGGACATGCAGGGAGCCATGGTGGTGGGGGAGGAGGGAACTCAGAAGATGAGAGGGGGCGGGAGGTGGGTGTTATTGGGGGAAGGGGGATAATGGGGACGCTTGGACTGGGGATGGAGGAGGGAAGTTGGATGGGGGGTGTGGGAGCCCGCGAGCAAGCGACCCTGCAAAGATGATGCTGAGAAGCGGGAGAGACGTGGCCTGACTTGTTTTGAAAGGCTTCAGACTGGCTGACGGATACTTCCGCACTGCTGAGGAGTGCATAATCGAGTGCATAATCAGCACGTGATCATTCTTAAGATCCATGAAGTGCTGCCTTCCTGCTCCATTGACCTTTAAACTGATTGGACACCCTCAGGAGGGAGGGGGGATTTCCAGATGCCTTTATGAGCTCTGTAACACCTGCAATAAACGAACTCCTGCTTGACAAGATTCCCTGTGGTGTCTGATTGTGGAGGGCTGGCGGACGCACGGACAGCGCACTCACCTTTCCCTGACCGGTCTGCCAGACAGAGCTGAGCTCCTCAGGAGACCCCCACAGCGGGGGAGTAGAGACAGGGAACTAAGGAAGTCAGAGGGAAATGTGTCGCCTCTGAAACCCCCTGAGAAATGTACATACAGTGCCTGAACATTAGTGCATATGCATACCTGGGGGTTGTATGGCAAGGAACACAGTGCCAGATAGGGGAGACCTCCCTTGGAGTGGTTGGTCAGAGTGGTCCAAAAGACTTCCAAAATAACACGGGCTGTTGCCAGAGCTCTTGGTTATCTCCCAGAACTGTAAGGTAAGATCCTACTGGTGAAGACAGGACATACTTTGGACATAGGACTTGGAGCAATGGAGCAGGAACTGACCTGGAAGCCTTCTACCTGAAGTTTAACTTCCATAGTTCTGGAGGATACCAAGCAAGATGCTAAGGGAGAAAATCAGTCAATGATCCAATCCAGCCCTAAAGCCTAATAACCACAATAACCGGCACAGAAAACTGCCTCTATTGATGTGGTAGTGGCACTGTTATCTGGGGAGTAATCAACAGCTATCTAATTGGATTCAAAGCCCTCTCAATGGGAGTGAACTCACGGGTGGCACTGTAAACACAGCCAAATACACATGGCTGGAGAGGCCTTAGATCCTAGAGAAAACCCTGTCTCTGTCATAGCTCAAGACAAATGAAATTTCTTACCATATGCTAAGTATGATCCTTATATTTACATACAAGTGTATCGTACACTACTCATCAAAGAAGCTTCTTTTTGCAATCAATGAAGGCTACTGCAGAATCCCACAACTGGTCAGACACAGAGAATATATGTCTAAGAGATGCCCAGTCCTAGGTGACATATCTACAGTGGAATCTCTACACCTAAGACTCATGGATCATAGCAGACTGGGGGTGGAGGGAGAAGGAGGTAGAGAGAAAACTGGTACATCCCTCAACTCTCACCAGTGAAGCTTTCTTATACAAGAGTGCGATGTACACAAAAGACCACAACTGGCCAATTTTTAAAGAATAAGAGACTTTGGAGTGCATGTCCCTGGATAGGACTCCTATATCAAATCTCCCCCACCCATGGCTCAGGGACCATTGCAGAAAAAGGAGTGGAAAGATTGTAAGAGCCATGGTTGGTCCATGAACATAGGAAAGCAGAGACTTTCAGACCACTGGAAGCTTTCACATGTGAACTTGTGGCAATGGTGGCATCAAGCACACAATCCATGTCAGTTCAATCAGACAAGGGCCCAGAGTGCAGCAAGGGAAATGGGAGGTGGGTCAGGCCTAGTCTGGGAACTATTGGAGATTGATTACTACTGGGTGAGGGAGAGTGGGTCTTACCAATAATCTCTAGATAGGCTGACTAGACTCCAGTGGATGAATTTGCACTGAAGGACATCTGGTTGATTGGATAGGACTACAAATGCTTGACTGGATAGGATTTAACATGTATGGCAGAAACGTGAGTTCCATGGGGGGGGCATGGATGAGGGAGGGGGGTCTAAATATGATTAAGAACTGCTGTATGAAATGTACAAAAGCTCAATAAAAATATATCAACCCTACAGTTTGATATAAAATAAACATTTATATTAAAGATGTTTGTAGATGTGAAAGCAGAAGCAGACAGGCACAAGGTGTAGGCTTCCGTGAAAATGTCAAGAATGTGTGGACACTTCAGCAGCCTAGAGGAGTCTCATGAGGTCCAGAGATAACACACCAGTAGTGCAAAGTGAACAGAAAACAAACCTACTCATCTTCTAACTTTCATTCAGTGTTTTCAAGTTTCTGAACCAAGATTAACGCCTGTGCTAACAGGGTATTAACAGATGAGCTTGGCGGGGCTTTTCTCTTGCACTTTTGCTTTAGGACAGCAAACAGGGTTTATAACTCCCAAAGAAAGAGAAAGCAGTACGATGCTGGAGCTAAAGACAGAATCACAGGACAAAAACAAGACTGGGGCTGGGAAGACAGCTCTGGGGGCCACCGTGCTTGCTGTGCAAGTATGAGGACCTGAGTTTAGATCTCTAGCATGTAAAAAGCCAGGCAATCCTACAAGCACCTGTGACCCTAATGTTGGAAGGCTGAAGTAGAGAGAGGGGGTCTGCTGGGGATTGCTGGCCATGAACCAAGACAAAAAAAAAAAAAATCTGGAGCACCAGATTCAGTGAGAAACTCTATCTCAAGGGAATAAAGCCGAATTTGATAGAAAAGGAACTTGATGTCCTCTTCTGGCTACCACATGTGTCTATATGTGCATGTACTCCCCCCAACACACACACAAGGCAAAGAACAAGACTTAAGAAACCACTTACCACTCCCCATTATCCAATGTGGATAATGAAAAGGCATAAAATAGCTGCTAATTGGTTCTGCATTTTCACCCTGGAATCCTGCCTGGACAAGCCAGGAGGGACAGAAATTAGAATCAAGGGGGTGGAGAGATGGCTCAGTGGGTAAGTGCTAGCCACACAAGCATAAGAACCTGAGTCTGAATCCCAGAATGTACAGGGGTGGTGGGCAGTAGAGACACTCTAGAAGCTTGCTGGAAAACACAGCAGAAAAGCAAAGAAACCTTGTGTTTCAAAACAAGGTGAAAGTTGAAGACTGACACTGAGGTTGTCCTCTGACCTCCACACTCGATGCAGCATATACGAGCCTTCACACACACACACACACACACACACACACACACATGCAGACATATACACATTATACACACACAAACACAAATTCACACACATATACACATCTTACACAAACACAAACACAGATGCACACATACACACTATACACACACAAATACACATATATAGATGCAAATATGCATGCACATTGTACACACACACACACACACACACACACACACACATATACACACAAAAGAGAGAAATTTGTACCAAGAAAAGCACCTGTTATATTTCTCTCACAAATTCACTGCCTGGAGGGAAACTTACTCCCATTTCTTTCCCTCCCTGACAAGTGGAAATTAAAGCAGAGACTACTCCGTCAATTAAACACATAATGAAGTCAAAACTCACAGACAATCATCTGTGCTTTCTGCACAGAGACTGATCGTTTTCCCATCTCGACAGATGATCTGCAGCAGACAGTCTCTGGGCTTCCCATCTGGAGGCTGGATGTCTAGGGAAAACAAGTAGAAATAACGAATGTTTACATAGCTTTTTCTCCCCCAATTTCTCCTTACACATTCTAAGACCTAGCAACCTAGATAAGCAAAGAATAAGACAGTAAGTCAAGTACTCCATGAAAAAATAACCTGTGTCCTGACCTAGAAAGCAGAAAGGAATCAGTCAGGCTGGCTGGCAAGACTTCCATCTGCTTCCTACAAAGCGCATATAAAGGACGACCCCAGCAAAGAACTGCATGGTGGCTTTGAAGAAACTCACCAGAATTGCCAAACAGATGTCGGTTTTGGTTTCTAAGTCACAAAATCAGCATGACCTAAGGGGGAAGTCCCCCTTTCTTAGGGTTGCTAGCACAAGGTTCCTTCTTTACAGCCTGAAGGGATGCAGGCTGGGTCTGACTTCAATGAAAAAAAAATCTATCTGGCTTGTAATGTGATGTTTGCCCCGCCTAGACAGAGCCCTTCTTCAGTTTGATACTGAAAGCAGACCCATTATGAAGGGAGGCATGGTAGCGCCGGTGGACGGCTTACCCCGACACTCATGCCCCATGCGGATATTGATGCAGTCCACTGGCATGTGGACCTTATCCTCTATACTCTGCCGAGTCTGGTCATCGTAATAGATCAGGTGGCCATCTGACCACAGGTCAAACCAATTCTTCTTCCAGCGCTTCAAAATAGTACCTGAGGAAAACAGTGGGGAAAGTTGGCTTTGGGTTAAATGAACAGACTGCTCATTTATGCTCGTAATGCACAGCAGACATGGGGGAGACTGCTCACCTGCATAGAACTTCTGGAAACAGTCCACCAAATAACAACGGAAAGAGACACAAAGCCTGGTCACTCACACTGGAACAGTACAGACACTTACAACCAAGCCTGACAATCAGATCCCCACGCCCCACATGGTGAAGAACAGAACTGACTCCTGAAAGTTGTCCTCTGACCTCATGTATGCCATTGCATACAAAACAAATATACATGTTTGAGAAAAACTTTTTAAAAAGACTCCTCAAAAGAATAGCAAAGCCTTTAGGACTTGTCCTGAGGTTTGTAAAGGACTCCCCATACCTCTGAACCACAGGGAAGCTGGAACCACAAAACTCAAGAGAAGGAAATTTACTCAGAGATTGGGGCCACACTCCAAAACACCAGGACTTTCTGTGTGAAGCCAACATCTGTCTGGGCTAAGGCTACCCAAAGACCTGGGACAGACACAGTATAGTGCCAGTACCCTTGGAAAGGCACACCTGGTTCTTCCTGCTTTAAAGCACATTTAGAGTGGCAACCTAGGAGATGAGCAGCTGTATATGAAGGGCAGGCCCACAGCATCCAGGCCAAGGAGAGTGGACCTCAAGCCTAAAGAACTGTCTCCTCTGGAAACAGAAGTTTGGCTTTTGATAAACTCATGCAACCAAGGCAAATCTTCCTAGTGTCATTACAAAGACATCACCGCCTCAGAATGAGTTACTTCTCAGACCTCAGATTGGACAGGCATTTCGCACACACTGAGATCAGTACCTGGGAAGCCAGCAGCAAGTATGTGTGGTCAGACTCTGCAGTCTCAGATAAACCATTAATAACAAAGCACCCCACTGAGGAAAAGGAAAGTAGCAGGGACTCCGTGTTTCCTGGTTCCTATCAACTTGGGTAAACATGGTCAGTTCCAAGTTTGCGAAGACAGTTCACAAAGCTCTAAAAATTCCCAGGAGCGAGGCTAGAGAGATGGCTCCGTGGTTAAGAGCACTGGATGCTCCTGCAGAGGACCCGGGTTTGATTTCCAGCACCCACATGATGGCTAACAACTGTCCATAACTCCAGTTCTAGGAGACCCAATGCCCTCTTCTGACTTCCAAGGGCACTGCACAATACAGGTACAACTACATACATGCAGACAATACACTCATATACAAATAATAAGTAAAATATCTTTTTTAGTTCCCAAGGGGAAAAACAAGGCAACAGCACTAACCAGACTTATAATTTGTTTATAAAAGTGATCTGTTTTGGAAGACCCAAGTGTCTGTACTCACTCTGTCGAAGCAACCATCCACTCTTCACAAACGCCATCTCTTCAGCTGCAGGAGAAATCATAGGTAGGTTCAGAATCATATTCAGGAAAAGAACAGCTCACCTGGCTCAAGTTTCAATCCTGTGCCCTCCAATGTAAGCTGATGAGCACTCCAAGGATGTGGCCTCACATCACTTGGCATATAGGAAATGCCTCCTCCATGGGCTCCATACCACCCCACCCTTCATCCCACCTTGCTGGGTCCAGCAGGCATGCGGTAGTCCTGGGGGGCACTGACACTCAGCTCTGATAAAGACTTGGGGCTTCTCACAACATACCCAACTGCCTCAGCCTAACTCTGACATGTTCCACAGGCTAACATGCTTGGTCACACCCCATGGATGTCAGCAGGTACAGTATTCAGATAAAGGCAGAAAACCTCCAGCCTTCAAGAAATACACTGATGCATTTAATTCCATAAAAGTAAAAATTTTGGACCCAGGAGATGGTTCATCAGGTAAAAGTACCTGCTACCTGACAACCTGAGTTCAATCTCTGGGATCCACTTGGTAGGAGAAAACTGAACCCCCAAATTGTATTCTGACCTCTACTCCTACACCATGGTGCAAGTGTTTTCTCTCTCTCTCTCTCTCTCTCTCTCTCTCTCTCTCTCTCTGTAAATAAATGTAAAGAAGATACTCAATTTCTCTCTCAATTCAAAGGAAAAAATTCAAATGCAGAGTTAATAATTTTGCCTATCAGATTGGCAAACTCCACTGCCCAGTCAGGACAAAGCATACCCTTTTAAGTATAGGAGGCTTAGCAGGGATAAAGAGACACCTGTGTCCCTCCCTTGGCTATCAGACTGTGAAATAAAGCACCTTATGGAATTAGAATTTCCCCTGGAATTCTCATGGAAGAAGGGAAACGCTAAAACCTGTGCCAGCCAAAGGGAGGAGCTTATCTTCTGGAAAGAGATTTCATATAGTTCTGACACCTTGTCAGACCACCGCAGGAGACTGGAGTTGACACAATGATGGGTCATGTTTGGTGGGAACACTCATTGACCAGGGCTGCTTAGCTATTCGAATCTCTGACCCTCTACTTAAACCTAAACCTCTGTGAGGACCCAGAAGATTAACTTAGGGGTAAGATCACTGATCTCTTTGTCTCTTTTCCATGTGACCACAGTGAATAAATCTTTTCTCATATTAGTTTTTTACTACTAATATGGCTCTTTCAATGGGCTTATCAAGGATGGATAATGCAACCTCACTTATTGTAGCACAAGCTGTGACCCTAACGCTGTAACAATGGCAGGGATAGAAATTGCATCCCACAGTTCTAGAGGTGATGTGCCAAATTAAGTTCATATACTTCGACATAGTAAGCTCCCCAGTTGTAGCAATGGTCTCACTGATATCAACAGAGGATCACCAACAGTATACACAAAGGTATTCACTGAAACTGTTACCATCAGCCAGCACAGTCTATGAAGGACTGCTTGGTGGGCACCTCTGCCCACAGACCAGGCTGATGAAGAGGAGTGAGGCAGGACAGTATGAGGACAGCACAGAGCCTGCACTTGCACTTGCTGGGTAGCTTTAGTTGTCAACTTGACACATCTGGGTAAAGAGAGCTTCAATTGGGGAATTTCCTCCATTGGACTAGCCTATGGCCATGTCTGTGGGGTATTTTTTTTTTTTGAGTGATGTGGGAGGGCCCAGCCCACTGTGAGTGGTCCACACATGGGCAGGTGGCCCTGTACTGTATAAGAAAGCAGGCTGAGCATGGGCCAGAAGAGCCAGTAAGCAGTGTTCCTCCATGGCCTGTGCTTCAGCTCCTGCCTCCAGGTCCCTGCCTTGAGTTCCTACTTTGGGCTTCCTCAGTGATGAACTATGACCCAGGAGATGTGAGCCAAATAAACCCTTTCCTCCCCAAGTTGGTATTGGTCAGAGTGTTTTGTCACAGTAACTAAAAAGGAACTAGAGCAGAAATTGGTACCGAGAGTGGGGTATTGCTGTAACAGACCTGACCTTGGTGTTTGGGGAAGACTGTAGAAGCATCTGGAACTCTGGACTAGAAAAGTCATTGAGTGCTTAGAGTTTATTGCTGTAGAGCTTGGAACAGTTATGCTGAAAGAGTTGTAGATGATGGAGTCCTGGTTTGTGAAGTTTCAAAGGGAAGCAGAGACTATTAAAGCTGTTTGTGTGATATTTTGAATTGAGAATCTATGGGTTCTGGTCAGCTGAGGATGAAGAATCAGCTGTGATTAAGAAGAGTCCAGAACCACTGAAGCAAAACCTTTGCTTTACTGGGACAATTGACACTGGTTAGTTGGGGCTGAAAAATAAGCTGCTAGTAATAAGAGACCAGCATCATTGTGGTGAAATCTTCTGGCAAGTATTTCCTCAGAGTCAGCACACAGAAGCTGTGGTCCAGAGGGCCCTGGGTCTCCATCTCAAGCTGGGAGCAGGACTTGGTAATGTATAAGGGTCTCCTGCATGGTTCTGGTATTGAAATTGTGAAGGTGTCATAGAGAGCAGCTGAGGCTTGGCAACCTGAGGGGCCAGGAAAGGTCACTGGTGAAAGTGCAGCCTCAATTGCAGTAAAGACCCTCTAGGAATGAAGGGGTCATGGAAAGAATTTTAAGCTTTGCACCTTGAGAGGCCAGAAGAGCCCAAGGGTGAAGGTGCAGCCTCAGTTTCGGTGGAGACCCCAGCTTTTTGGAGATGCCAGGACGGCTACCGGGGCAGAAGCAGGTGTGGAATAGGGCTGGCCTGGGCCATTGAGATGAGCTGTGTGTGTTGTGGGCAGCAAAGTCAGAGATCATGAATGAATCCCAGACATGCAGCCTTGAGCTACTTTGCTGGACTTAGGTTTTGCTTAGGTGTGCCCAATTTTTCCCTTTTGAAATAAGACAGTACTTGTTTTGGATTCTACAGGAGCCCACAGTTAAGAGACTTTTAAAAGAGACTATGTGGACTTTTAAGTATTTGGATTTTTTTAAGGACTGTGGGACTTTTAATATTGTACTGTCTTATGTTGTGATATTAACATCATATCTTGGGGACAAAAAATGTAAAGGTTGTGATTTAATAGTGATGTATTTGTGTGTCAGGTTGACAAGGGGTCAATTGTGCTAGACAGCATTAGTTGTTAACTTGACACACCTGGGTAGAGGGTGCTTCAATTGGGGAATTTCCTCCATTGGACTGGCCTATTGCCATGTCTGTGGGGTATTTTTTTAATTGTTGAGTAATGTGGGAGGGCCCAGCCCACTGTGGGTGGTGCCACCCCTGGGCAGGTTGTTCTGTATTGTATAAGAAAGCAGGCTGAGCAGGGGCCAGGGGAGCGAGCCAGTAAGCCGCATTCTTCCATGGCCTGTGCTTCAGCTCCTGCCTCTAAGTTCCTGCCCTGAGTTCCTACCTTGGGCTCCTTTAGTGATGAACCCAGGAGATGTGAGCCAAATACACCCTTTCCTCCCTGACGTTGTTATTGGTCAGAGCGTTTTGTCACAGCAATTGAAAAGAAACGAGAACATGCACCATGTGCTCTGGGCAGCCAGGTGGGAATTACTAAGGATGTGTCTCTCCAGGGAAAGGAAATGAGGTGGATGTTGTATGCACAACAGAATGGAGGGGGACAGGCCAGCACTGCTAAACTTTCTGTTTAACAGCCTCCAATTTGATGTAGCTGAGGATAACCTTGAGTTCATGACCCTCCTGCCTCCACATCCCAAATGCTGGGATTACAGGTGTCACCAGCAGCCCAGCAGGCTGTGTATGCAAGTTCCCTTGATATTATTCAGCTTCTGTTTGTTTGTTTTACAGTACTAGTGGCTAACCCAGGGCTTTGGGCCTGCTACACAAGTACTTTGCCACTGAGCTAAATCTTCAACTCCCAGCCTTTAAGGAACTAAGTAGTTTTGGCCAAATCAGAGTAAAAGTCCATGGGAAATAAAAAAAATGCAAGTGAGTTTCCTTTAGGGAATGTTTTCTTGGAATCTAAATGTAACTGTATTCTCATCCTTCTCAAGATCCTAAGTACAGCCTGTGGAGCTCAGTCATCTACACTCCTACATCTCTCAAACCCTGTCCTTGGGCAGGTTCTAGCCCTTCTTGCAGCTTCACCATTCATACATCTTGTCCTACCTAGCATCTTCCCCACATGATCTTTTTCTCAATCCAGAAAGCCAGTTTCCACCTTTCTCCCGGAGGATATGAACAGAGAAACGTCCACTGCTGCTGACAGCTACCTCGTGACCAGGAAGAGGCAGCCCAAAAGCAGCTGACTCTAAAAATAGCTGACTCGTTAACCGAGCTAATCATGAAACCCACCTGTGATGCTTAATCTTCACAGTCAACTCGATGGACCTAGAATCACCTAGGTGAAAAACCTCTGGGTATGCCTGTGAGAGAATTCTAGATTAAGTGAGGTAGAAAGAGCCACCCTAAGTGTGGGCAGCACCATTCCATGGGCTGGGATCTCAGAAGAAATATAAAGAAGTGAACAGAGTACCAGCATCCATCCCTCTCTACTTCCTGACTACAGATGCAATGTGACAACTGTAAGCCAAAATAAGCCCCTTCTCCTGTAAGCTCCTTTTTGTCAGGTATTTGGTCACAGCAGCAAGACAAGTAACAAATACAATACCAACAGTTTGATACAAATGCTATAGCCTACAAAGTTCACACTAGAGAACCATGTAATCGAGTTGCTGAAAAAAAAAAAGACTGGTTTATGTTTAGGGTTTTGTGTTGCCATTCATAGTTATTCTTGGCTGCATGGAGTCATTGGAGCAGGTTAGACACACCTGCAAGAAACCAGTGAAATATAAATCAAATAATGGGAGAGAATGTTACAGTCATATCTCGTCTGGGCAAGGATTGTGACTACCTCAGAAGACTAAACTGGAAGGGGAAGCATTACGCCAAAGGGCAAAGTCAGTCAGGAACAGTCACACTCCACTTTCCATGGCCACAGCATCATGTGAGAAACTGCCTAGTAACTGGGAAAAAAAAAAGGACTTGGACAGGCAGGAACCACCTATTTATAGTACAAACAGAACACCTGACTGAAGTGCTGTCACACAACTTCACTGGTTCTTCCTTAGCTGGTGGTTGTGACACTGCGAGCACAGTATGGAAATGCAGAACAAAAGGAGTTTCCTCAACCTCCATGGTGTTTGTTTAAATTACAAATAGTTCTCCACTCTAGTTTGGCTATAGTTGTCTTTATACCAGTCAAAACATCAGACCAGTGTAAAAATTGAGACCAGAACAGCTTCACTTACTTAAAGGCCTTAGGACTCTGCCCACTAGGCATCCATTCAGCAAGATTATTGCCACTGCCAGCACCCAGGAAGATGAAGAGTGAAAAGATAGCTTTAGGATCTGCAGATTTCCTGTGACCTCTGATTATGATTCACAAACGGAGTCAACATCTTTATTGCCAGGTCCTGTACCTGCTTCTCTTGGTATCTGCTTGGAGCGGAGGCTGGATTTCTTTTGGGGTAGTAAAGGTTTAAAGGATGTCACCAGGAGAAACCAGAAAGCTGACGGAATCAATCCCAGGACAATGGAGTCCAGATCAAAAAATGGAATGTAACAGAAATCTATCTATCTAAAGGGCATATAAACATATCTGATATATATGCATACAAAAATATATAATAGTTCAAAATTAACACTGAAAAGAAAATGGGGATTATTATGAGACAGAAGCTGGAATTAGTGAGCTAGGGAGATGGCTCAGTAAGTAAATTATTTGTGATGTAAGCATAAGAACCAGAGTTTGTATCCCTAGCACCCACATAAGCACAGGGGATAGGGTGGTGTGGGTAGGGAGTGGCCTACTGTTATCTCAGTGTGGGAAGTGGAGACAGGATCCATGGAGCAAGCTAGCTAGGCAGATTAGCAAAATTGTCAAGTTATGGGTTCAAGATGGAGAATCATGGAGGAAGACACCAATATCATTCTTGGGCCTCTACATGTACTCATACATACAGGCACACAGGTCTCCACAAACACATATGCCTACACACACCCAAATATACACATACACATACAAGCATACCACACATACACAAGCAAAAAACATAAAAAGTGAAAAAAAAGCAAACAAACAAACAAAAAAAACAACAACTGGGGCTGGAGAGATGGCTCAACAATTAAGACAAGTGACTGCTCTTGCGGAGGTCCCCAGTTCAAATCCCAGTACCCACATGGTGGCTAACAATTGTCCATAACTCCATTTCCAGGGAATCTGATGCCCTCTTCTGACCTCTGTGGACATTGCATGATATTGGTACATCTATGCATTTAAGTAATACATTCATAGACATAAAATTAAAAAATAATAATTTTTTTAAAAACCACCTGGAATTAGCAATATACTCCTTCTAAAATGGGTGATTCATCTAATAAGTAGCTTCTAATCTAATATCATTTTATCAACAACACTTAGTCATTATGCAGAAAATTCTCACATATCCCCTAGTGCCCAGATTTTTATCCCTAACACTAGTCTCCTCTAAAAGGATCTAGCACTTCTTGAAAAGGAGTTGGTTATGGTTTGGAGCATGACACCTCAGGATGCACTGAAGAGGCATTACTGCAAAAATACAATGCTGGGGCTGGGAGATGGCTCAGCAGGTAAGGGTACTTGCCACCAAGGCTAAGGGCCTGAGTTTAATACCCATGACTCGCATGATGGAAGAAGAAAACCAACTAATACCTAGAAGTTTGAAACAATACTATAGTCTACAAAGTTCATACTAGGGAATCATGCAATTGAGTTACTGAAGGAAAAAAAAAAGACTATTTTAAGTTTAGGATTTTGTGTTGGACCCCATTTATAGTTATTCTTGGCTGCACAGAACTATTAGGGTGTAGGTTCAACACACCTGCAAGAAACAGATGAAATATAAATCAAATGATGAGAGAGAATGTTGCTTGTCTAGCATCTGCAGGCTCCATTCCCAACACCACATAAGCAAACACATACATAAATACTGTATGGAAGTGGGCCAGGAACCTAACAAATACTTAAATAAAATAATAGTAAAGATGTGCCTGGTACAGTGGCATAGCCCCATGGCACATCTCTCCAGGAGGCTAAGGCTGGACAGCTTGGGCACAGGAGTTCAGAGTAAGCCTGGGCAATATAGTGAGACCCTGAATCTTTAAAAACAACTTTCATGAATATCTTCAGAAAGGATAAGAAAGCCAACTAGCTAAATAAAATAAAGGGCATCTATTGGCCAAAACCAATAGACAGCTGAAGGTGGTGACACATGACTTTAATCTCAGAGTGTGGGGGCCTGAAGTAGGGAGACTGAAAGTTCAAGGCCAGTCTGGGCTACATAGTAAGACCCTGACTCCAGAAAAAAAAAAAAAAAAAAAAAAAAAAAAAAAAAAAAAAAAACAAAACAAAACAAAGAACCAATGAAGAATGTATAGTACATGAGTATAAAAAGTTGAAAATGAAAAATAATTTTAAAAAGGGGGGGTGGGGGCTGGAGAGATGGTTCAGCAGTCCTCTTCTGTCCTCCACAGACAATGTACCACACGGGTACACTTACCTACATGCAGGTAATACACGCATACACATTTTTAAAAAGTTGAAAATGGGGCACTAGTATAAATGTGTTGTAGAAAGGACCCATTTCAATGTGAGCTTGATTTCACAAAACTGAGGGGGCAGGGACTGGTTTTAAAAGAAAGCTCAAGCCCATTGTGGTGGTGCACGCCAGTAGGATATGCAGAAGAGGTGGAGGCAGGAGGATCATGAGTTCAAGGCCAGTTTAGGCTACATATTTTCAAAAAAAGAACAACCAAAAAAGAAAACTCAAGGACTTTCTTTAATGTGGTACACTATCCCTTCACTAAGTAAGTTAAGTGGTTATGTGTTATGAGGAATATATGTTGTGTTTACTATTTAAGATGTTAGGATTTGCTTTTTTAAGAGTTGAGGCTCAGGCATACTGAAACTCTGATAGCAGGGGATACCTAAAACAGGTTTAAAAGCAAACTGAACTACTACTACTGCTCAGGTAATAGTCCTGAGGAAATGAATCTTGGGTCTACAAGCTAAGGAACACAGGGTGGCTTGCTGGGCAAGCTTGTAGAGGCCACCACTAGAAGAAGCCTAGAGGGTAAAAAACTCCAGGCCAAAGGGAGCATCCTATGGTGCCCCTGTGGAATCTTCATCCAAATGGGACAGGACCGTCAGGCACAGGACATAGTCCAGGGCACTGAAGCTGTGGCATGGTGTCATATGACTGCGCGCAGACTAAGTGCTTGATCTCCACTAGGGAGATGGACATCATCTTTGTCTTCTGGCCTCCTGGGCAGCAGTCTGGTGGTACTGCCACGCGGAGCACTGTTTCTTTATCAGCACCCATCACTCTATCCTGACTCCCAGACCAAAAGCAACACATGATACAAGGAACACAGGGTGGCTTGCTGGGCAGGCTTGTAGAGGCCTTCCAGACCCTCCAAGGCAAAGAGAAGTTGAGGCACATCAGGGCGGTCTGTAAGTCAGCAGCTGCAGCCCACCAGGCTCACCAACTATATCCTGAACACCCTGGGATCACAAACTTTGAAACAATGGTCCCCAGGGAATTGGAACTCCCCTAGGAATTTCATGCTGGAAGAAGGAAAAGCTGAAGCCTAGTGCTAAATTCATCTCCTGGACAGGGACTTCACACAGTTCTGACAACTTATGACCACCCAGCAGGAGAGACTGGAACAGAGACAAAGATGGATCAGTGAGGGTGGGGCCACACCTTGCCCATGACTGCTTAGCTATGCATACCTTGTACCATCTGTTTAAACCTAAACCTCATTTCAGGCCCAAAAGACAGATTTGGGGGAAGCCGGTGTATGTCTCTTTTTGTTCTTCTTCCCAATGTGGTCATATTAAACAAATCATGTTTTTCTGCTTTTCACTACTACTTGTCTTTTTAAGTGTCCTGCTGAGAATGGGTGGCCAAGCCTAGGCTGTTTAGACTGCTAAGGCCCAGGCTTGTACCATAAAATCTCCAGTATCTTTACCATCAGGGAAATGACACATGTTGTTGAATCCAGAGGGGAGAAAAAAACAAAACAAAACAAAACAACCAGAATGCTCAAGAACAGTAAGATTCAGAGTTCTCAGTTAAAATGATAACCACAACCAAAACTGCAGTAGACCAGGCTGGCCTCACAGAGATCCGCCTGCCTCCACCTCCCAAATGCTGGGATTAAAGACATGTGCTACCACACCTGGCTTTTCATGAATTTTTAAAAGCATATGATCAAAATCATACTTCCTGATTTTTAGTCTATAAGATATGATTGTGGTAGTATCAACTGATCAGCTTGAGGACCAAAACACAACTGGATTAACCAGTTCTCTTTCTATAATACTTCTATATTTATGGGTATACATGCGTGTATAGGTACATGTACACATGTGTGGGGCCAGCAGTAAACCTCAGACATCATTGCTCTGGAGCAGTCCACCTTACTTTAAAAAAAATATATATATATATATATATATATTATTTTTATTTTATGTGTTTGAGTGTATTACCTGCATGTATGCAAGCACACCCATGTCACATGGTGCCTGTAGAGGTCAGAAGAGGGCACTGGATCCCCTGGAACTGGAATTGCAGACAGTTGTTAACCGCCATGTGGGTGCTGGGAATCAAACCTGGGTCCTCTGCAGGTTGTCAGTGCTCTTAACTGCTAAGCCAACTCTCCAGTTCCCACCTTACTTTTTTGAGACAGGGTCTTTCGCTGAACCTGGAGCTCTCAGATTCAGCTAGGCTGGCCAGCAAGCCCAAGATCCCCCAGTTCCACCTCCTCATCCTGGAATTAGAAGTTTGTGATAACATGCCCAGATTTTTACATGGGCGCCTGAGATCAAACTCAGGTTCTCCCATTTGCACAGCTGAGCTATCTCCCCCGTCCCTAACATTTTTAACAGTTTTCTCTTTGCAGTTTTTGGTCATCACTGACATCAATACAGTACTTCTTTAATGCCTTTGATGTCAATTAATGCAGAAGAAGGGCTGAGAAAAAGAACACAAATATTACAAGATAAAAGTGTGACAAAGCTTTCAGGACTGAGACTGCAGACACTAGTCAAACTCAGCATCCTTGACAGTGTGTGAACCCAGGTGAAGGCAGACACCACAGTGAAGAAGTGCAGATGATAAGGAGAGAGGCACAGTCACCATGACTCTTAGACACTAGGCTGATCACCAGACCTGAGGGAAAAGACTGACCTCTGGAATGACTAATAGCCTTTGTTTGCCCCTCCCTGTACAATCTGCTGGCCAGAGATGGCATGTAAGGGGATTTTCTAAGGTGTGAACTCCTCCCTGGGCTCAATAGAGCCCTGAATAAATAAAACACAACTTAAAGATTCAGTTTTTGCACACACCTTCAATCCCAGTATTTGGACAAAGAGGCAGGTGGATCTCTGTGAGTTTGAGAGAAGCCTAGTCTACACAGGGAGTTACAGGCCATTGAGACCCTGTCTCTCAAAAAGAAAAAAAAAATTAATTCGTGTCTCTGCTCCCTAGAGTGTGTAATGACAGGTGGCACGAGCTCCACTACTACACCATATATATCTGTAGTCCCAGCACAGCACATGGAGGGTCATGATGTAGGGAGTAGCATGGACTCATAATGAATTCCTAGGCAGCCCAGACTACATACAAGTCCTTGGGGAAAGAGTGGGCATGTTTTTGCACCACTGATGGACACATTTAGTAAATACGTTCCTTTTATCAGGAAATTTTCCTACAAAAATGTGCTTAATCCTTAAAACTTCTTAAAAATTCTTAAAATATAACACTTGTAAAAATCCTCAGGTTTGCCAGGTGCACGCCTTTAATCCCAGCACTTGGGAGGCAGAGGCAGGCAGATCTCTGTGAGTTCAAGGCCAGCCTGGTCTACATAGTGAGTTCCAGGACAGCTGGGGCTGCAAGGAGAGCCTGTCTCAAAAAGACCAAAAAAAAAAAAAAAAAAAAAATCCTCAGGTTCTCAGTTCTCTACAACACAGTTCCATATGTAATCTACTGAATACCTACTGTGTGTCTACCAGGAAGACATAACACAGTTTGATTCCTTCCCTGAGCAAGATCAGTGGGAAGTCTCGAACACAGAATAAACCCACAGACATTACCACTACATAAGCCCAGGCAAGCACCTGCCTGGCTAGAGGGTCTCTTCCTAAAGTACCTGACCTATCTATATCCTGCGGATCACCCAGAATCAGGACTTCCTGGACCCATGAAGCACTTCAAGCACCCCAAGGAAGGAACCAATGGCAACAGTACTCCACAGTACATGCCCTCCCTCCCTCAAGCAGTGCAGACTGGTGGACACAGATGTGTCTATGCATCCATGTTTGGTCAATGATTCATTCAACAAGTATCGAGTACCCTAAGTAAGCAGGCAGTTAATCCACCCTACCTTCCCCTGTGACATAGGACAAGTCATTTCCTGCATGGACACTGGTTGCCTCAAAGGCCACAGGAGACCAGCCTTCCTCCCTTTCCTAATCTAGCATGCGTGCACGCACACACACACACACACACACACACACACACACACACACACACTAAGCTTCTCCCTGGAGGAATGAATCAGTGCATTCTGAGTGTTCTGATTAACCACAGTCCCTAGAATCAGTAACAATTCTCCCATTCCTTTCCTCCACCCACACTAAAACACTGGAAATTCACTCCATTCCCTTATGAAGCCCCTTGGTAAACCACTCTCTGAGACTTAGCAAAACAAACCATTTCTGCTTGTCCAAAATAAAAGTCCCCAACTTCCCAAGGTCCAGTTGGCTAACAAATATGACAAAAGTAGTAAGATATGTACAATTAAACACCTAAAACTAAAGACCAGTGGGGGTTCACCAGAGTCTAAGGCCTGTCCAGGACTACAGATTCCTAAAGAGAAGAAACCTCCTGGCAGAAGGCTTTAGTAAAGCGGTAGGCAGTCCCTGAGGGGGCCTGTGCAGCCACAGTTGTTAGAAGGGGCCAGAGAGGTAAGATCCTCCAAAGGGATGAGCCCCCCAGGTGAGTGGAGAGGGCCTCCTCTAAGAAGTCAGGGATGCGCAGCTCTACAGAAGATACCATTAGGACAGGGGACACTGGAGAAGGGGAGAGGATGCTGGGCTGGGGAGGACACAACTAGGATGGGGGACACTTGGAAAGGGAGGAGTCACTGGAGGGGATCACTGGGGCTAGGGAGGCAGAGCTGAAGCGTATACAATTAGGACGCAGGACACTGGGGAACCAGGAGAGGACTCTGAGAGGAGCTGGGGCTGGTCAAGGACACCGGGGATGAGGATGCAGGGCTGGAGGACAGGATCAGAATAAGGGGAGTGGGGGGACACTGGGGAGGCAGTTGGAGGAAGGGGTTGGGGGGCAGCTCATTTGGAAAGAGGAAGGGGACAAGGAATGGGGAGGATATGATCAGGATGGGGACACTGGGGTGGGGGAGGGGGCAGGGATTTGAGAGGATAGGATCAGGATGGGGGCCACTGGCCGGGCAGTTGAAGGAAGGGGTTGGGGGCAGCTCCCTAAGAAAGGAGGAAAAGACAAGGAATGGGGAGGATATGATCAGTATGGGAGACACTGGGAAAGAGGGAAGGGATGGGGACAGGGGATGAGGATATGATCAGGATGCGGGACACTGGGTAAGGGGGAGGAGGCAGGAGCTGGAAAGGAGGAGGGGGCGTGGGGCTAGGGAGGTGCGGCTGTAGAGGCTGGAACTGCTGGAGAGAGGCCGGAGGTGAGGATGCTTGCGAAGCAGGTCCCCCAGAGGGGCGCGGGACAGGGACGGGACGGTAACACGCCAGGGTATCCACGGGAAAGGGTCGCTCGCGGGCGGGGTATGGCACCGCGGGCGCAGTCACCTGTAAATGCGCGGGATGCCGGGCAGTGATCAGATTGGGAGGGCAAGGTCGCAGGCTTCCAGAGCTTCCTCGATGGATAGCCACACGTCCGGGTCCTGCGTCACCCGCACCACCTCCTGCGCATGCGCAGGCTGCCGCTGGGTGGTGTCCTGGAAGTCTACATGCCTGGAGGAGCCATAATCTTTCTTAACAAGGGCCTAGTTACCAGCTCAAAGCATGTTGTAATTTATTTTGCCTTCTGAACACCATCTCCAAAGAAAAGGATCAGAGCGCCCTAGAAAACTGCATGGCCGTGGGCTGGGGCAAGTCAAGGACAAGCTGAGCCTGGAACATCCTCAGTGTCAGAAATGACTTTTCCTGTGCAAAAACAGAAGAATGGGGGTTTGGAAGGACACAGGAATCAGTCTGAAAGAGCAACCAAGGAGCAAACGTGAAAGACTTAGCGATAAGTCACATAGCATTGTTATAGCCTAGAAAATAAAATGTAAGGAAATGATTAAAGAAATCAACGAGGAAGGAGTTGGGTGTGTTAGTACAGGCCTACAATCCTAATCCTGGGGAGGCTGAGTCAGGAAAAATTGGAGGCCAGCCGGGCTACACAGACATAGTCTCAGAAACCCAAAACACATAAACAAGTGTGGCATCTGTGTGGTGGCACACACCTGTAATCTCAGCCTTTGGGAGATGGAGGCAGGAAGAGAAGTTCAAGGTCATTCTTGGCTACATAGTTCAAGGCCAGCCTGGGAATACAAGACATCCTGTCTCAAAGAAATGTATTATACTATCATACTTTTTGAGTGATGGTGTAACTAAAAGGGGTCTGTCTTAGGTGTTTCATGATGTTGTGCCTAGGTTCTTTGTGTCTTAAGCAATGAATTGGACAAGACACAGAATAGTAATAGTGAAATTATACATTTATTAGAAAAAAGCATAGAGTATATGCCACAGAAAGGGAGCAGGACTGAGCAATCTAGAGACTCAAGACCCCCAAGTTCTTTCAGGGGTTCCTTTTATGAATTCAGATGGAGAGAGTAGCTGATCCCCAGGGGCAGAAACGGGGTGAAACCTTAAGATGATTGACAGATGGGTTGTTAAATAATTTTGGACCATTTGCAGGTAGGCAGATCATACATCCTATAATTTTAAGTATATGTATATGCATATACATGAGATGGTAAATAGGAGTTTTCCCTTGTCAGGTCATTTCAAGGACAGATTTGCCCTTACAGCACTTATACCCAATACTGGTTTAAGTTGGCTGTGACCCCAAATCACCCACAGGAGGAGAGATCTGGGCATGGCCCTATGGGGAAGGGGCTACCAAGAGGAGGTACCTCCTTGTCAGCAGGCTGTCCCTATGCTTGCCTACCTCAGTGGAGCTATAGAGTTCTTGTTTCTTTTTCCAACTTTTCTAAATTTACCAAATTTTCTTTTAAATATATTTAATTATGTGTAGATGTACGTATGTGAATATGTACATGAGTGTGAGTACCTGCAGAGACCAGAGGCATGGGATCCCCTGCAGTTGGAGTTGCAGGCTGCTATGATCTGTGATGTGGGTGTTAGGAACCAAACTTGGGTCCTTTGCAAGAGCAGCAACTGCTTTTAACCACCAAGCTATCTGTCTAGCCTCCAGTTTTTTCCTTTAATGAATATATATCACTTAATTAAGGGGCAAAAGTAAGATTTGAATACAGTTTGGTTTAAGTGGGTGTTCCAGCAGTGGGATGCTACAGTGTCTGCTGGTAAGTTCTCTGGTTCAGCAAAGTTGGCTTTCTGTCCTCTTTACTAACAAGAAGAGTATACCTGATTTCAGCCCATGTGTCTACGCTGAAAGTTTAACTTCTGGTCTAAGTCTAGAGGGGTGACATTTGAATGTCATACCCAGTCACCCTATCTCAAGTCAGTCAAACTAAATTATCAAGTGACTAGTCCCACTTCCTTGTTTACTTCAGTTAATAATATGAAAAAAGAAAGTTGGGTGGGGCATGGTGGGGTGTGCCTGTACTCTCAGTATCTGGAAGCCTGAGGTAAGATCTAGAGTTTGAGGCCAGCCTGGGCTATACGAAGAAGAAAGAGACAGGTCTCTGTGCTCAACCCAACATGCTAAACCAAAGTAAGATTTTACACTCTCACAAACTTTGCTTCCAGGGGCCTGTGGTAAAGTGCTTTTGGAACAAGCCTGAGGACTTGAGTTGGAACCCAAGAACCATGGAAAAGTTGAAAGAGCGAATGGACTCCGTGAAGTGTCCTCTGGCCTCCACATGCACACATGGTGGAATGCCCCTCTCCACATCATAATAATAACAACAGTAATGGTAAAAACTTTGCCCCCAGCTAGATGGTCAATAGAAAACCATGGCATTTTCCTATTAAACCTTCATTCTATATAATAAATGGATTGGCTGAGGAAACACTGAAAAAAAAAAGAGTGCAAAGGATTCACATAAGAAGTAAATCATTGACAGAAAGTTCACATACATCCAACATTTCTCAAATTATGATCATAATCTAACAAATACAAATTAAAAATGAGTGAAATACAAGTTTCCAATTACAGAAAGTTCAAAAATATTTAATGAGAATTCAATATGTAAATGACTGGATGGTATAATGCCTGGCAGTCACTGCTTGTACATATATAAGTTGGAACAACCTTTGTGGAGAATATTTTGATAATATTGAGGGCTTTAACATAGTTCTTCTAATTGGGCATAGTGGCACATCCCTGTACTTATACTTTAGAAGGTAGAGGCAGGAGGATCAGGAGTTCAAGCCTAGCCTCAGCTAAATAGCGTGCTTGAAGTCGGCCTGGGCTACATAAGATCCAAACAAAAACAAAAGCCTAATTCATCTCTTTAATTTTTTAATGCATATGTGTGCTGCCTGCATGTATGTAAGTTCACCTGTGCAAGCAATGCCTGCAGAGCCAGAAGAGGGCGTTGGATCCCCTGGAACTGGAGTTTCAGGTGGTTGTTAGATGCCATGTGGGTCCTGGGAACAGAATCTGGGTCCTCTGGAGAGCAGTTGGTGCTCTTAACCACTGAGCCATCGCCCCAGCCCCTAATTCATCTCTCTAAACCAGCAATTTGGGCTAGAGAAAATGATTCAGAGGTTAAGAGTGTGCAGTGCTCCCAGAAGATCCTAGTGTGAGTCCAAGCACCCTCATCAGGTAGCTCTCAACCACCTGTAACTCCAGCGCCCAGGAATCTGATGCTATTGTGTAGCAATTTTGTCTAAGATAAAACTTCACATTTTGAGACTAGAGAGATTGCTCAGTGGTTAAGAGCACTGGCTGCTCTTGCAGAAGACCCGGGTTCAATTCTTACATGACGGCTAACAACTGTCTGTAACTGCAGTTCCAGGGGAATTCAACACCTTCTTCTGTAAGTAACCCCAAGAAAACTCATTGGTTCATTAAGTTGGACTTTGGTGGTATCCTTACTTTGGTCTTTCATGGGTTCCCTATCTGGGGTGAGTAGCTACTTGTTCAAATCTCCCCAGGAATAGTTTCACACAATAAATGTCCTCTTATGGACTCTGCAGGCACCTGCACTAACATATGCATGTAATTAAAAAAAAAAAAACAGAGGTGTGGTGGCACATGCCTTTAATTCCAGCACTTGAGAGGCAGAAGCAGGTGGATCTCTGAGTTTGAGGCCAGCCTGGTCTATACCCTGTCTCAAAAAGCCAGAAAACAAAACAAAACAAAACAAAAACAGACATTTGATGTGGAGGTAACTACCTATGGTACATAGAAACTCTAGTCAAAAATTGTGTGCAGAGATGTATTTCTTGAGTGTAAGAGATAGAAATCAAAACAACCAACAGATAAATTTCGAATTCAACTGATTAGCAAAAAATTTAAAACTCCCTAGCAAGCGTGACAAATAGATGAAACTGTCAGAGTTCATCTTATCAGGGATCGTGTAGTTTTCTACAAACACTTTCAAGAACATGGATTTTGAGTCTAATATGTATATGAGTATGTATGTGTGTGGGTACATGTGTCCCACAGAACACTCATGGAGATCAGAGGACAGCTCTTGGGAGTCAATTATCTCCTTCCACTATAGAGTCCAAAGATTGAACTTGGGTCATCAGGCTTGTGGGTGAATGCTTTTACCAACTAAACCATCTTGTTAGCCCCAGACCATAATTTTAAATAATGGCTTGCTTAACAAATGACTTGCCAAATTCCTGGAAATATATCCTCAGGCTCTTAAATCCATGATCTTGTTTAGATGTCTCTTGATGACAGATGCACTGATGCCTTCAAGTCTAGGGCTATAATCATCAAATTGCTATGAACATTTCTGTGCAAGTCTTTGTATGAAGGTATGATTTCATTTTTCCACAGCACAATTTGCAGGATGACTGGACAGATGTTTGTTTAGTTTTATGAGAAAAAATCAGACATTGTAACTGGTCTACATAGGGAGTTGCAGGCAAGCCCAGGCTACAAAGTGAGACCCTATCACAAAACAAAACAAAACAAAATGAAATAAAACAAAACACCCCTCTGGCAAAAGACAACTTATGGGAGAAAGGGTTTATTTGGCTAGGTTACAGTCCCTCATGACAGAAGTCACAGCACAGGAACTTGAAAAAGTTGACCACATTATAGTTAAGGAGCAAAGAATGCATGCTAATGCTCACTTTCTCCATTTTATACAGTCCAGGATTCATAACCCAAGGAATGGTCCTATCCACAATTAAGATGGATCTTCCTACATCAATTAACATTAATCAAGATAATCCCCCACAGGCATGCCAAGAGGCCCAGCTCCCTCTTGATTCCAGATTCCTTCAAGTTGACAGTACTGACAATAACAGGTTCATGTCTAGATGACTAGAAGGACATTGCATCATTTGGTTAAGGGGCAAGTTTTTACAGTGTGAGTTACTGCCTTTGGGGACTGACTTTGTAAAGATGTCATGAGTTATTAGAGGTCAGACTGCCGATGGTCTAGCTCTTTTGCTAGAGTGGATTTCCCTACAGTAGTGTCAAGATGCTCTAAGACAGATTATAGCTTCTTAAAGATAACTCTTTCGGGTCTTGCTTGGAGGCAACAGCAGCCTTACTCTAATCCTAGCCTTGCCCTGAGGTGATAAGAACCCCATTTTGGGGGTGAAAAAGCTCAACACAGCCATCCAACCCAGATTCCAGAATGGCATTGAGAGTTTCCTGTGTTTTATTGCTATGAAGAATGCTTTGACGAATAAGCACGTAGTTATTTCATTTTATAAATATCTATATAAATAAACTTTCAGAAATGGAGTTGTTGGGTTAATAGTTTTTTGTGGTCCTTTCTGCAATCCAGCAATCTAGTGCTGACTTCCTATGGCCTCAGCAGTAGAGGGTGTTGCCTATTTTTTTTTTAACCTTTTTGAGAGAGGGGCTCTCTGTAGTCCCAGCTGGCCTGGAACTCACTATGTAGACCAGGCTGGCCTTGAACTCACAGAGATTTGCTTACCTCTGCCTCCCAAGTGCTGGGATTAAACCAAGCTTGTTGACTATTTTGGGGAATGTTTCTCAGTCATGGGTGAAAAACACCTCAATTTTTTGAAAGCTTGTTTGTTTGTTGTTCTCTTCAAACAGGGTCTTGTGGGCCTGGAACTCAGATACACTATGTAGACTAGGTTGCTTCAAGCTTGAAGCACCCCTCCTTCCTCTGTCCCCCAAGTCCTGTGTCTCAAAATTGCTTTATTAATCACTTGCCTTTTGATTTTCCTTAAGGGGAATTCTCCAGCTAACATTTTAAAATTTGTTAATCTAGTGTGTGTCTGTGTATACATTGTGAGTTGCTTCTCTCCTTTAATCTTGTGGGCTCCAGGGATCCCCAGGCTCACGTGGCAAGCACTTTTACCTGCTGGGTCATCTCACTGGCTCCTCCAGCCATTTTTTTTTTTTTTTGTAGTCATTGTTTCTGGGCTTTGGGTGATAGAAATTTTTTACTCTAAGTTTAGAAAGGAATTTTTCCATGCTCTTTTATTGTTATTTTATGATTCCTGGTTAAATTTTTATGCCTTTTAAGTTTGGAATTTATGAATTATAGATAGTTACATCTATTTAACAGTCCTTCTCTATCCCCAGTTAGTCATCTTTGTAACTGTGACAAATTTGGTGAGAAAAGTCTGGTGTGGTGACACATTCCTTTAATCCCAGCACTCAGGAGGCAGAGGCAGATGGATCTCTGAAAGTTCAATGCCAGCCTGGTCTACTTAAAGTGAGACCCTGTCTCAAAAGAGAGAGAGAAAAGTCCACTTAAAGGAGTAAAGATTTATTTTGGCTCATAGCTTTAGAGTTTTCAGCCTCTGGCTGCTTGGCTCTGCTACTCTTAGGCCGTGAAAAGACAGAACATTGTGGTAGATGCACAGGACAGAACAACCTGCTCACCTCATGGGGACTAGCATGCAAAGAGAAAAGAGAGTTTAAAGTTCTAATATCCTCTCCACACATACTCCAAACATCCTTCCACTGGACCCTATCTCTTGGGGTGTTTATTATTATGCCAACATCATAATCATCTGAACAAATAGACTGGCTCTTAAATTTTTATGAGTGGGCCCAAACTTGGAAGACACTAGTTCATAAGTTCCCCTAGCTATTTATTAGAACGGTCTGTCTCCCAGAACTGTGCTGATGTATCTATCTTGTCACCTCAACCTGTGCAGATGGAACTGTGTCCTCACTCTGTTGTTAGAAATAAAATTTGAAGTCTAAGGACTCTGTCAGTACCAAAGAACACTCGGACAAAGCGAAAGTAACCTGGCAAGGCAGATTTTACTTTTGCAAAAGGGTGATTTGTGAGATTTGTGTGGTCAGTCAGATCCAGCAAGCACATGGGACTTGGAAACTTGGTAAGCTTTTAGCCCTAACCCAAGAGTACCGTGTCTTTTCCCCATTGATTGGGGTCTGACCTCAAAGTCTTTCCCAACTGGCTAGTTTAAAAGAATCTGAGGAAAGGGAGGAGGAGAGTTCCACTCCCCTAGGCCATCAGGTTCAAGAACTCATCAGGACCTTTCCTAAAACAAAAGTCTTCAGGGTGTGGTGGGATTAAAAAATTAGAATTCTTTGTCATAAACCAAGTTCCAATTTTTACAAGGTTTGAAAGAAAAGACTAATATTTAATGTTTCTTATACTGTGCCAATGGACCTGTCTTTGGAACCCCGTTTCACCCGCTATGTCATCCTTTCCCCTAGTGAGGCCACACCCATAATTTATTCAAAATGGTTTCTCCAGCTTATATATTGAATATATAACTTTTTAATAAAACCAAAAATATGAAATATAAAAATTTACAAATACATTACATATATTCTCTAGAGAGAATCTATTGCTTCTATCATTTTGAGTTTTTTCTCTGTACTTATATTAGTTACTTTTCTCATTGCTGTGACAAAATACCCAGACAGAAACAACTTAGGGAAGAGTTTATTTTGGCTCAGTTTGCAGGTACAGTTCATCATAGTGAAGAAGGGATCGTGGCAGGAGCTTGAGAAGTCAGCTCCTCTAGGGTCTCCAGTCCGGAAACAGATAGAGATGAATGCTAGTGCTCATGGTGCACAGCTCTTTCTTTTCTATTGGGTCAGTCAGAGTGGGACTTCCCAGATGGACAAAAATCCATACCCTCAGAGATTTGTCTCCAGGATGATTCTAGATCCTGTCAAGTTGATAATCAGTACAACCATCACAGTACTTTATTCTTGGATTACAGTAATTTAAATGACCCCACCTCTTTGGACCTGATATTTACCTGAGATAAACAATTCTGTTGTGTGAAGACATTGCTTGAGATTTGCAGTTATTTCTTGGTGTTTCCTACCTATCCAGATAGATGAACTGTGTTTACAAATGAATATGCATGCAACTTAGGGGAAAAAGTCTGTGGGGGCTGGAACCATGGTGGTGCTCTGAGCTGCCCCTAACTCCAGCTCTAAGAAATCCTACATCCTCTTCTGATCTCTGCACCTGCACTCAACGTGCTCTAACCCATACTCATACACAAAATTAAAAATCTTAGGGCAGGGCGTGGTGGTGCAGGCCTGTAGTCCCAACACTGAGGAGGTAGAGCAGGCAGTGGATCTCTGTGAGTTCCAGGCCAGCCAGGGCTACATAGTGAGACCTTGTCTTAAAAAAGAAAAAGAAAAAAAATCTTGGAAACAGGAAAATTTATTTTTGTTGCTCTTGTTCTTTTGAGACAGGGTCTCCCTGTAGTCCCAGCTGGCCTGGAACTATGTGGATCAGGCTGGCCTTCATCTCACAGAGATACGCCTGCCTCTGCATCCCGAGTGCTGGGATTAAAGGAATGCACCAGCATGCCCTGCCAAAAAATAGGGTTTATTTAAATATTTATTAAAAGGTGCATGAGTGTATTGCCTGCATGTGCACCCCTGTCGTGCAGTGCCAGCGTAGTTCAGAAGAGGGTTTCAGATTTCCCTGGACCTGGAGTTAGGACAGTTGTTAGCTGCCATGTGGGTACTGGGAATCGAGCCCCCGGGTCCTCTGCAAGAGCAGCCAGTGCTCTTAACTGCTGAGCCATCTCTACAGGCCCGAGAAAATAGTTTTCCAACAGAAAAAAAAAGTAAATTACGAAATAAATAAAAATAATGCAAACCGGCATATTTTTTTCCCCCGAAGTTAATACGCGTCATCATTACGTTTCCCAAAGCAGTTTCCAATACCACTTTCACTAGAGCCCTAAACTGAGGCCTGCAGCGCATGCGTGTTCTTCAGCATCCGGGCACCTAGTCCACGGGAGCGCGCGCGCAGGCGCGTGACGTGCCTAGCGCGTCCTCGGTGCCCGCAAGGCGGGCGGAAGTGAGGTCGAGGGCTCCGGTGTCTGCGCAGCATTAGCGGCAGCGCGGGCCAGGGCGAGGTGTGCGGGACGAGCGGTCGGCCGCATCCGAGCGGTGTCCGGGCGCTGCCCGTCGCCGAGCCACACGCCAAAGTCCGGCGCGTGCCAGTCCCCGAGGTGCAGGCCGCTGTGAGTGCGGAGTGGGGGCGGCGGCTGCGGGCCGGGACGAGGGGCGGCCGGAAGTGCGGCGGCGCTTTGTGCGGAGGGGTCTCGCGGGGCCAGTTGGGCCCGGCGGCCGCGCTTTGTCCGCGGCGGGGCCGAGGGGCGGGGCGCAGGTGGGCGGGGGCGCTCGGCCTCTGAAAGGTCGCGGGTTGCGCGGAGGAAGCGGAGCTGCTCCGCCCGCTGCTTCGTCGTCCGCTGCCTGGCGGAAGTCGAGCATCCTGCTCCTGCTTGAAAACGTAGGCTTTTGAGGATTTTAGCAAGGAAAGGATGATTCGGAGCACAGTCTGGATTAATGTGAAAAACAAAGTACGCCTTGATAGAGTGTCCACATGTAGTTTCTCTGGTGCTTTGTATGAGTTAATGTTTAGTCAACGTCACATAAATATTTTGGAGTGTTTTGCGTGTAAGAAAGCTTTACAAATTAAAAGGCTGACTCGTGAGCTTTTTGAAACCATACACACAAAAATGAAAAGATTTATGGGGTTCCTATTCCTTAAACTGCACAGTTAGCCTTGTTACGTTGTCAAGTATGACAAGATTTTAAATAAAAAAATTTTTTTTTTGCTTCCAACAAAAAAATTAGAGAAACACCCCTTAAAACTTTGGTAGGTCAAGGAGTAAAGAAAGTATTGCATTGCTTGACAGTCAAGATCTGAGACATTTAGGCTGTTTCCAAATGCCGAAGTTACTGTGGTGGAAACTGAAGATTTTTGCCTCCCAGTGTTTTTATAAAGCACGCTTGCCTGTATCTCACTTATGCAACATTTGGGAATGTTTTGTTATGCAAGAAAGCTCAAAAGTGCGTTAAAAGTGGGACCAAAGGAAAGTTAAGGTCTGAGAGAAAGGGTGTTAACAGGCTTTGAATTGGAGTCTGCCTGTTGTCCTTGTTAGAAGCAGTTAACAGGCCCACCCCAGTGGCTGGCTGCCTTCTCTCTTCCTCTTGTCCCTGAGGAGAGTGGAAGTGGCCCAGGGTGTAAATTAAGTGGGGAATCCGGGAGAAGGAAGTAATGCCTGTTAACTACTACTACCCATTGCCTGCTTCCCAGCTGGTTTGGGCCAGCTCTACACCTGACTTTCAGACTTTTATTTTAAGGGTAGACAGAGTGGTAACATGCCAATATTTGATGATCCTAAACACTGAGAAAATAGGAAGAGCATAATGTCACAGAGATTAGAGTTAAGAAAAATAAAAATGCATCTTAAAAACAATTTGTGTAGGTTTTGTGGATTAAGAAAATTGTCTTCTTGACAATTCATTTTCCTGGACCAGTTGAGAACAATTTAAAACCTGTGCAACAGTAGGACTATGTCTCTCTGTATATTTATTTTGAAAATCTCAGTGTTCTGTACAGAAATATATGAAGTTGTCCCAGGAGTTTACAAACAGGTGAAAGCTTGAGTTTGGTGGAGTGTAGAGTTTTCTACTAAGATATACTCTTCTTGCTGTCAGACATAACCTGAGAATTTTAAATATCAGTTTTTCTAACAAATATTGAAGCTTATGCATGGTTGTCTCTGAAGAGAGACCATGTAAGCCCTGTAAAGTTAGTGTTGATATGAAATACTAAACTCTTCCGCCTTTAAAATTGTGTAACTCCAGCTTCTCCTGGGAGCTTTATTTAGATCATGGTATGTTTTAATACTCAAGATTGAGGAATTCTTGCCATCGTCTTTATTACAGGTACATCTGAGGTTTGTTCTGATGCACGTGTCAAATAACCCTTTGAATTCCCAAAATTGAGTCATTTCAAATAGGTTTCCTATTAAAATTTAAAAAATTGCTGCCCCTGTATCTAGTTCTGGAATTCAGTACTTGGTCCTCTAGCACAGTAGCGGTATTGGTAGTTGCTCAGTGACCAGTAGCACTAGGAAACCAAATAGATTAATGCTAATAGGTTTTTTTTTTTTACGTTTTCATTATATAGCCCTCGTCCCAACATACTGAAGTAAAGTTTACTAATGTTTAGCAGTATTTACTCCTTTTTTAGAAATGTTTTAGATTACAGGCACCATATACTTATTTCATATTTCTAAAAAATTACATATTTGCATATAACCATAAATAACAAATTTGGCTGTAGGGTGCCGTCTGATACCCAGCCCATGTTCAGTTGTATGCAGTATGTCGTCAAAGTACTTTTTGAGATCGTTCCATAGAAATGACTCTATACAAAATCCACCCATTACGTTTAGTGTAAATCTATTTTTATCTAGAGACACCCTCCCCCCCTCAACAGTCATCAGTCATTGAGAATCCTCACCTTTGGATTTGTGTGGTTGCTTCTTAGTGGCACTAGGTGTGTTCATCACACTCATTGACTTTCCTTGGAGCAGTGCATCTTGGATGATAAAGAGGAACTTGAACTCCTCTCCTGTGAAGGTGCACACTTGTTAAGTAGTTTGAGTGATAGAAGATTGATCAGGGCTCAAGTTTTATATCTGTTACTCAGGTATGCATTGATAATTCTGAATTAGATTTTAAGTGTCCGAAGTTTTGCTTTTGAGACAGAGCCTGGAACTCTATATAGACCAGGCTGGCCTCAGTCTTACAGAAATCCTCTTGCCTCTGCCTCTGTGGAACTGGGATTAAAGGCATGTGTCCAGTTCAAGTTAATTTTTATTATCAGAAGTCCCGTGTTTTTGCTAGGTATTTATTCACATTTAGAAGGTGTTTATGAGCTCCCTCTGCTGAGCACTGTGAAGATACAGGGGAATGGTGTCAAATGAGGTATTTTCCCTGCCTTTGGGCTTACAGTAAATGGACTCGGATGTTTGGTATTTGGTCACAGAACTGTGTGACTGGTTTTCTTTCACCGAACTAAGCCATTCTGCCAAGTTGGAAAGGGAACTGCAACATTTTCTTTCATCAGTCTTATGATATTTTACTTGTCTTTTTTGGTGCCAATAGTAGAACCTAGGGCTTCAAACATGTAGACAAGTGCTGTGCCTTTTGTCTGTAGCCCCAGTCAACTGTATTTTTTATTTCCTTAAGACTTTTTAGTCACTTTAGGGAATGTTCTAATTTGCTTTCTGTTACTGTGATAAAACACTCTGACCAAAAACAATTTGGGGAAGAAAGGATTTATTACATCTTAACAGCCTGCCGCTCATCATTGAGGGAATTAAGGGCAGGTGCCCAAGGCAGGAACTGAAGGAGAAGTCATAGAGGGATACTGCTTACTGGTTTTGCTCTCCTGGCTTCCTCAACTACTTTTTTTTTTTTTTTTTTTTTTTTTTTGAAAAGGGGTTTCTGGGTCCCCCCAGGGGCGCGGACACCACA